GCAAGCTAACAAATATCGTCGCCCATCACAGTTCCAGGTAGGTGACTTAGTCTGGGTCAAGTCAAAGGAGTTTGCTCCTGAGGAAAACATCTCACAGAAGTTATTGCCTGCATACCGAGGACCGTGGCCAGTCTTAGAAGTCAAGGGAGGAGAGGATGGACCGTCCTACACAGTCGAGATTCCAGCACACCTCCACACCTACCGAATTTTTCATGCGCCAAAGTTGTTGCCTTGTACCACGAGCCAGCAGTTCCCATTACGGAGGTCCATGATTCCTCTCGATATGGATGGAAGGTACGACATTGATCGCATAGTAGAAGAAGATGTCTTCAGGTCAGGAGGTAGAGGTCGTCCACAGAAACAGTACAAGGTCAGATTTGCCTATCAAGAACCAGAAGACGACTGTTGGTTTACCCCAACAACTTCTAGAGACCGCTCCCGATATAGTTCGAGCCTATGAAAGAGATAAGAAAGGTTAAGGTCCTACATTGGACTGAAGTATTCTCGGGGGACCTCGAATTTAGGCCGGCGGGAGTGAAACGGTTTTCACCTTTGCAGTCACAGATGCAGATCCCAAGGATCGATCCCTAGATCCCGTGTACAGTATCACATCGACCCTGTGTGTCTTGAACCCGTGACCTGTGGGCTAGTAGTTGAGGGTTGTTTGTCATAGGTCTGAGTAGTTGTCGGGTCTTGAACCATTGACCTGTCGAGGTAGGGGTCATATCTGCATAGGGGGCATAGTTGTTGTAGTTCTGAAAGGTCAAGGTCGTGGCTGTTATAGTCCTGAAAGGTCAAGGTCGTAGCTGCTACAGTCCCGAAAGGCCAAGTCCGCAAACTTCCGGAAGGTCCGGAAGTGACCTTTCGAGAGTTTCCACGTTTGGCCAGAGGCATGTGAGCGAGTAGTCAGTCCAACTTTGTCTAGTCAGCGATACCCAGTCCCAGTCTTACTTTGTCCAGTCAGCAAGTACCATGTGGGACTGTGTGCACCATGGGCCCAGTGGAAAGAGGCAGACCAGCAGCCTACAGAAGTATAAATCAAGAGGCAGCATTCAGCTATTCATTCATTCCTGCGTGAGCCATGCGGAAGCGCTGCCCTTGCGTCTTGTGCGAGGTGGTCTGCAGATGCCTGTAGTCGAAGTGGACTGAGGGAGGAGCGGAGCAGCCATCGCTGCTAGTAGTTGAGGTAGACGGCGGCCATAGCTGCCATAGCTAGCGATAGGTAGTAGAGTGTGTGTATGTACGTGTGTGTGTGTGTGTGATACAGTGTGAGTGTGCTCGGGATATCCAGGGAGATCGAGAGTCGAGTGTGTGTGAACAGTTGCACGAACACAGTGTCGGACAGATGTTGTGTGGACGCTCATGCGCCATAGCCAATTGGAGGCGAGTTTGTATCTGAACTTTATTCTGGGCCGTGTTATCTCTGAACTTTGTGTGGGCGCCTGGCGCCAGTGTGTCTCACCATCTGTTTGCATGCATGCGAAGTGAGAAGAAGCAAGTCTGATTGCAGTTTAAAAGCAGTAGTAAAAGCAGAAGAATACAACTTCGTACACAATGCCAGGTCTCTACGAATCTAAACTAGCAACAACCAAGGAGGCGCTAGCCCAATGGGCAGAATGGAAGAGGAGAGGCCTGAGAATAAGGGCAAAGGGCCAAGGATTGGGAGAGCAATGAATCAATGACAAAGTTTGTACTCCAGAAAAATAGATCCATATGAAGGAATAGCAGAATCTTTGAGTCACGGGATAAACGAGGAATAATAAGGAAAATTTGAGACGGCCTGCTAGGAGTCGTGGCAGAATTCATAGAAAACTATGCATCTCCTGGACACCACAGGAAGAGGGCAAGACATATATATTGTCACATCACTACAAACTAAAAGAGCGCACTTTGCGGAACAAAGAATAAAAGCAAAAAACGGGCACAGTGATAACATGCAAAAATAAAAAACAAAAAGAAAGAACAAGGGCAGATTGAAACCATTAAATTTCTCATTCTTCTTTGAACTCCATCATCCAACAGAGCTTCCTGGTAAACCGTAGGCAGAGAGGGAGAAGAGGACAACAAACGAGAGGCTGTGACAAACTGTATATATATTTGTTGTCCTCTTCTCCCTCTCTACCTACAGTTTATGGGAAGCTCTGTTTGACGATTATTATTATTATTATTATTATTATTATTATTATTATTATTATTATTTAAAGGTTGTGTGGAGGCTTGAGGTATGGACAGGGCCATGAACAGGCAACCGAGGCTATCAGCTCATGCACCACCCAGCCACTCAGAGGAGGGTGCAATGAATTACAGTTTTCCAGCGGGTGTAACACTAAGTCGTTAGGCTTTTCCTAACTTTTTGGTAGATTTGCGGCCTTCAGGGTTTGATCCCGTGACCTATGCCTAATTGGGACTGTTCTAACTTCGCATGGAACTTTGAGCCCTCTAGGGCTTCATCCCTGGACCTATCCCGTACAAGGGCTTTCTTTTGTGCTGCAGGTTGTAGGCCCATTGTTTTCCTTTTTCCCTTCTTGCTGTGTTTCGGTCTACATACAGCGAGTGTGTAGGTCTGGTTGTTGTGTCCTCCGGTGTAGCAGTCCAGTAGGCTGTAGTGTCGGTTTGTGCAAAGGACTGTAGGGAAATTTTGGACGGGTTCTTTATTGATTTTCTTTTCACGACTGCTGCTGGAGGTCGCGTGGGGAGTGCAGCGCTATATTTGTAGTGCAGGTAGCCTTCCTCTTGCTGGATGGCTGGCGGCCATAGCTGGAACCAGCTCTGGGCATCAGGCCTCGAGCGCTGTAGGGCGCCTCCTGCTTGCTGTCTGTTGGGGAATGGCAGCTGCCCTTGAAGCAGCCTGTTCGTGAGTCTTCTTCAAGCGGCAGGCATCTTCATCTTCATCGTGCTGGTGTTCTCCTTCTTCGTCCAGGGAGCTACTCTCCCCTGTTGAGCGGACACTTCATCTGCAGTGGACATCATGATTGGACTGCTGAGTGCCATGTTAGTTTCAGAAGGGTTGGAGGTGACTGATGGGTTGTTTGGTTGGGCCTTGTGTTGCGCCATAGCTAGAGGCTAGAGCTTGACTTGAGGGAGGAAGAAGAAGACTCTCAGACACTTCGATGAAACTTTTGTAAATAATTGGTTCCTGGGTGTTAATAACGTGGTTGGGATTCTCGGGAAAAACAGTGCATTGATTAGCTGGAGGAAGTGGGGTATTAATTAGAGTTGATTAATTTCAATTCTATTTTTGGTTTTGAGTGCTTCCGCTGTGTATTCTCTCACCTGGTGTGGTGTGATTTGCTCTCTCCAAGATCTCTTGTCATTGCCCCTGTATATGGGAACGTGTGGATGCCATGCTGTATCTTGTTTCAATCAGGCACATAACGGAGGGCATCGAACCGAGCCGGCAGACCTTACGGTATCCAGACCCCCAGTGACCCCCCCCCCCCCCCCCCCCCACACACACACACGCTGTGTGCACCATGAGCGAGCCATCACGTCACCCCATAGAACACCCATACATACCCCCACCCCCGACTCAGACAGACAGACTACCAGTACGACCAGGACAACAGACAACCAGACAACCAGGACACTTCCCTGTGACAAGTACGTGACATTCCGACAAGTACAGGACAATCCAGAACCCCATACAACAGCCTACACAACCTGATGGACTGTCCCCCCCAAGGGGTACCCGGCCCTAAGATGCAGGGGTCCAATAGAAGGGGACCTTCCAAGAGCGGGTGGAATTCGAGCTATTAAGCTTACTTGGAGCATGCGCCACAAGCACTCCAGCTGAGCGCGACCAATCTCGAACCCGCAACCTGCATCTTACAATGCAGGCCCCTAAACAACTGGGTTCAGAACATTCGCTGTGTGTGAATCGTCGTGTGTCGGTTAACGCCCGCCGGTGTCCATGCGCGAGGTCGCAGGGTAGCCCACACCCTCAGACCACAATGTGCATTTCCAACCAGTGCACTACCCACTGAGCTATCAGCCACCTGGATACCAACGTCAAACTGGAAGCAGCAGCATATCTAGACAAGGATTTCTGAGGGCAGAGATAGGCAACGCACTAGATTCCATGAAGCCTAACAAGGTCCCGGGCGAAACTTCTCTTTTCTTTTGTAATATGAAGAAGGTCATAGCCCCTGATGTTATTATATGATGAATTTATATCCATCTGATTCCATCAGGATTCGACTTCAATTTTTTTTGTTTTTAAACATCCCTCTCTGGTGCTAGAAGCACTGGTAAGAGCAGAAGCTTCTAGCACCCTTGTGGGGGGCTCCATCTATTGGTGGGGATCAACGCCTGCTGGGAAACGGGGCCCCATGTACAAGGGATACATAACCATGATGAAGTATAAGACTATGACCGGCCAGCATTGATTGCCCTGGACTCCCAGGGGATTAACTGCACAGGCATCAATGGCTATCTAAGGATTTTGCCAAACGAACACACCACTCCCTATTTGCAGTGGAGACAGAAGTCAAGGGGGTGTTCTGTTTTTCCATCAGGATTCAAACTGATGAGATGTTCACTAACAGTTGCATGTGTGCATCATTCAGCTACATGGCAAGGTTAATCATGACATGGACAAAAAAGACCAAAAGGCCAGGGACAAAAAATCATGAAATCATAGTATTAGACCACCAGTACCTCCAAGCCTTGTTTTCCCAACGCGGATTTGCACTGCGCGCCAAATAAAAACGGACAACCGCAGCACATTTTTTTTCTAGTTTGGCTGGCGCCGCCAGCCATTTTGGTCTAGTAGCACTGTTCATCCAAAGTCTTCAGATTGACGCAGTTCCGATTCTCAAGTTTGCCTGGGTGAGGTACTGCTGGTTTACGGATAGAACAGAGAGGTCCCTCCAGACATTTTGGAACGATACAGCGCAGATTAGCATGCCACTGTGCAAGGATCACAGACATAAATGATAAATCAACAGGTGGTCCACAATTATTAAAAAAGAAAAAGGATAAAAAAAAGAGAGAGAACCCACCAGCTCAGAGCCATTCTTTCGCGACATCATGATGAAGGGAGGCCCCACCCGTCTCCATAGCTCAGGCATCATCCTCTCTCCCATGTTGACGCTGCAGTCGCTGCCAGCGTATCTCTGGCCTCGACTCGGCAAATCACATCAAATCAGGTCGGCACCCGTTCATCAGGATCCTCCCTACAATCGCCATACGTGAAAAAAACAACAGGAAGGGTCCACATGGACAACCCCGTAATTTCAGGCATAAGCTAAAATAGTCAATTTTTTTCTTATTAGAGAAACAAGAAAGGAAAAACAACAGGAATAACAGAAAATCCAATAAAATAACCCCCCACCTTGACACCACAGATTACCACAAGCAGAAGATTTCTTTCAAGCCACTGGGTGCCCCATAAGTTCCATAACCAAGCTCAGTAAAGGTTCCCCATCATAGATAATGCCCCCACCCAGGTATAGTGAGCAATCCTGTAATGGCCCAATGGGTACTAAGCCTGCTTTGTGCTTTCCCTACGTCTGTAGAAGATTGCATGTACATGCCTACACAGGTCTCAAGACTCTCAACACAAAGGGTGATGTCTCGCTTGCATGGATCACGAGGTCCTGACTGTCCATTTTCCCTACCTACAGACAATATCTCTAAATCCATGCAAGTGAGACCCCACTCGCGGACCCATAGCCATACACCTTTGAAGTTGGACCTCACGCAAGTCCTTTCCATTATTGTTCTATTATTAGAGAAAAAAAGAAAGGAATAAATGCAGGCAAGTGTTATGATCTTGGTTGTCTGACGATTTTTACCGCCACTCACACACAGACAATCTCATACACGCCCATACATGCATAAGAGAAGGGGGAGAGGAGACAGAGTCCACACTGCACACAGATCAGAGTAGGCAGCGGAATACAGCTATGCACAGATGGGGAGAAGACACACGGTGTTTCTCTCTCTCTGACACACTCCCAACAACCAACCACAAGTAGAACCGGCGAGGATAACAATTGAAATTACACTGATGATGAGCCAACTCAAACAATTATCGTAACAGAGTTTGTTCCAGTATCTCGCCACTCTCAGAACTCACACCCCACTCTCTATCCCACACCCAGTTAGTAGCGCCACATCAAAATGGCCTCCCAGAGGCCAGCGCCAACCACCCTGATGAAGAACAGGTCCTGCGATGAAGTCTCCAGTGCCGATGGACAACTCTGACGAAGAAACAGGCAGCTATGGCTGCCACCACCCACGAGTACACAGTGTAGAGCCTCGATGTAGCCTGGCCAGACGCAGATACCCCCAGTGGTAGATGCGTTGAGGATGCCCCAGCTATGGCAGACTCAGACTGGGCCGGCTATGGCTGCTGTCAACGGCGAAGTCTCAGGATGCCGCCTGCAGACAGTCACCGCCACCAACTTGCTAGGCTTCTCCAACGCCGCTTCGCGAGAAATGAACTGCCAAAAGTCCTGAACCGATGGGCCTAACCTATCTATAGACTACGCTAGACCTAGACCGGACTGACTGACCGACCGGTACCGTTGCTGTTTCGGCCTCTCGGCCTCTACCCGACCCGGCTATAGGCTCTAGGACCGTCTATCAGCATAGGCCGCTTAGGGCCTGTCTGTCCTAGGGGTAGCCCGGGCCTGCTATATGCAGTTAGGGTAGCTGTAGGAATTCGGGTTAGTACTGGGCCTATTTTTCCCAGATTTGCAGATCTGTCCCTCATGAATTTCTCTACAGGCAGGTCTCTCGGTTAGCCCTCAGCCAAACAAAATTACAAATCTAACCCTACCGGTTAGTGTACAGCCTCGCAATCAATCTCGGCAGTAGAAATCAGCAAGTCATTGCACAAGTGCCATTCCAAATTTTTTATCTGCAATAAAGTCCCTTTCTTTTTCTTTTTTTTTTTTAACAAAGCAAGGCTCCGATCTATTCATGGGGAGCAGCACGTGCTGGGAACCGGGCCCAGCGTCCCATATCAAATTCACACAGTACCGGGGCCATTACCCGGCTCTGGCTAATGCAAACGACACACAGGTCACGGTGAGAACAAAACCCATTTGTCCTAGGATGTATTGACCTTTTCAGCCCAAATAGGCTGTCAATTATTCTATTTATATCAAACCTAGCTACATCCCATACCATTGAGCATCCACCAGGGAAAGGGGGTGTGGGGGAAAGGGGGTGTGGGGGAAAGGGGTCACAAAAATCCGACGCTGGGCGTAACTGGACCGACCTATCAATGACCGTCCACTTATGAAAGATGAGCTTGTAGTCTTTGATGGGTCTATCCTGGTCCTCCCCACCCTGCCATCTCAGCTATCCATCCCCCCCAGTATCCCCCCAGCCAACTGTTACAGAATTGATGGATTTGTGTCAGTATTTCCTTCCTTGTATTGAATTCAAACTCGTCTTCTTCCCACTTTGTCATGCCTGCAAACAGCGGTACAGCAACTGGCGACATGCGCCCACAGTACTCAAGATATCGTAACCAGATATGAATTCTCTTCAACTGGCTATGGCGACTGGGCGCCCACACAACTCACTGTTCGCACTCTGGATCACCCTGGATGTCCCACACGCAACACTCAGTATCATACACAACACACACACATACTATGCTACAGCTATGGCAGCGCTAGCTGCCTCT